TCCTCCTGCCTCAGGCTTCTCCTCTCTTGCCTCTGCTTTCTCGCTCCTCGTGTTCTTCCTGCCTCACATCTGCTGTGATCTCCTCCATGCCTCCTCTGGCTTCTCTTATCCTCCTCATAGCACTTTCTCCTCACTGCCTACTGCTGCTTCTCCTTGTCTCTCTACTCCTCTGCCTTCTCCTGCCTCCTCCTCTTATTCTCTCCACTACCTCCTCTCTCTTCTCCATCCTTCTTTCACCTCTGCTTTCTCTTCTCCTTTCCTTCTCCTGCACTCCTCCTCCTCCTCCTGGCCTCACCTCCTTATCCTCCTCCTCCTCCTCCTCTACTCTGCCTGCCTCTCCTTTCTACTCTCCTTTTCCTTTCATACTCACTTCACTCCTTCTCTCTTACTCTGCCTCTCGTCTCCTCCTCTTCTTCACAGCTCCTACTTCCTCCCTTCCTCTACTCACTTCCTCGGACTTTACCTCCTCCTGCCTACTCCTTCTTTCATGCTCCTTCTCCACCAACTGTCCTTCATCCTCCTTTTCTCCACAAAATAAATTGTACCCTCGCTCCCCTTCTCTTTTGCCTCCTCATCTCGACTTCCTCCTCGCACTACCTACTTTGCGTCCTTTCTTCATCTCCTCTCCTCCTTATGACTTACTCCTCCTCTTGCTGCCTCTTTCCTCACTACCCTCTTCTCCTTACTTCTCCTCCTTCTGCACCACTAAATCATGCAGTCTCCTTACTCAACCACTGGCCTCCTCTTCTCCTCTCACGCTCCTTTCTCTCCTTCTTACATCGCTCTCATCTCATCCTCTACCTGCCCTCGGCACTACTCTCTCTCTCCTCCTGTTCTCACACCTCTCTAATCTCCTCATCTTCATCTTTCTATTTTCATTTACTCCTCACTGCCTACACTCATCTACCTCTCCTCTACGGTCCTCCTCCTCCTCGTGGCTCCTCTCTCCTCCTCTTCCGCTCCTGCCTCTTCCTTGCCTGCCTCCTCCTGCTACTGCTCCTCTCCTGCCTCATTCTACTTCATTACTCTGCTCCTCTATTATATTATCTCCTTTTCCACCACCATACTAAGCTCCTCCTTAGTCACACCTCTCCTGCTTCATGCTCCTATTTTCTCCTCCTCATTATTCACTACCTTTCTCATTATCTCTTTCCTCACTCTCCTTCCTGCTCACTCATATATCTCGTGTCTCCTGCTCTCCAACTCTCATCCTTCCTCTTTTTTCTCTTCCTCTCTCTTTCATTGCGCACTCCTCTCTCCTCACTCTACTCCTCACTCCTCCTCGCTTCACGCAACTCTTCGCTCCTCCTCATTCACTCCTCTCTGCCTCCTATTTCCTCACGCTCGGGTCTCAGCTCCTAACTCTCCTCCTTCTCATCCACTTATCTCCTCCTCTTCCTACTCTACTAGCCTATCCTCTCCTCTCCTTGCTTTCCTCTCTCTTTCTACTCCTCTCCTGGCTCTCTCTCTCTCTTCTCTACCTGCTCTCATCTATCCTCTCCTTCCTCACTTTAAGCTCGCTCTCCTTATACCTCCTCTTCAGTCCTTTTCTCCTCCACTCCTCTCCGAGCTCTCCTCCTCTTACTCTGCTCTCATCCTCGCTCTCTACTCTCTCTTTACTCTACTCCTCTCTTCCATACTATACTCTCGCTCCTTCTCTGCCATACTCTCTCCTCTAGTCCTCTGCCTCCTCCTCGTCTCTTCGCTGCCTCTTCATTCCTCTTCCTCTGCCTCTCGTCTTCTCTCTCCTCTGCATTCACTCCTCTCCTCTCTTCAAAACTCTCCTCTCCTCTCCTCCTCTCTCCTCTCTGCTCCTTCTCTGTCCTCTCGACTCTCCTTCTATAACCTGTATCATCTCTCGCTCTCCTTCCTCTGCCTGCCTGCCTCCCTCTCCTGCCTGCCTCTCCTCGTCCTGCTCCTCTCTCTGCTCTCCTCTCCTCGTCTGCCTCTGCTCATCGCTTCCTCTCCTCTCCTCCTCCTACTGCTCACTGCATCTCTCTTCTCCTCTGCCTCTCCTGCTCTCCTCCTCTCCTCTCCTCCTCTCCTCTCCTCTCCTCCTGCACTCTGCCTCTCCTCTCCTCTTCCTTCCATCTCCTCATCTCCTGCTCGCTGCTTCCTCTCCTCCTCTCCTTCTCTCGCTTCCTCCTCCTCTCCTCTCTCTCCAATAATATTCACTGCTCGCTGCTCCTCCTTCGCTCTCTCACTCCTCAACTCCTCCTCCCTCCTCTCGCTCTCTCGTGAGCTTCCTCCTCTCGATCTTACCTCCTTCTCCTCCTCTGCTCTGCTCGTCCTCCTCATCTCTCTACTCCTCGCTCTCCTCGTCCTCCTCCTCTTCCCTATACCTCTCTCTTTCCTCTCCTGCTCCTCCCTCACTCCTTGCTGCCTCTCACTCTCTCATCCCTCCTCTCTCGCTGTCTCCTTTTGCTCCTTTCTGCGTCTCTGTCCTCCTCCTTTATTATCTGCTCCTATCCTGCTCCTCATTTCGTCTCCTCCTCTCTCTCACTGCGTCCTCTCGCATAATCCATATAATCTCTCCTTCACTCTCCTCTCTTCTTCTCTTCTCTTCTTTATTCTCTCACTCTCTTTCTTCTTTTCTCTTCTCGGTCTCTTCTTTCGTCCTCATCTCCAGTCCTCGTCTCTCCATCTCTCTCTCTCCTCTCCTTCCTCTCTTCTCGTCTCTTGCTCTTCTGTTTCTATCACTCTTTCTCTTCTCATTCTGCTTCTCTCTCGCTTTCCGTCATCCTCTAACTACTCAATCTCCTCTCTTCTCTCATCTCTCTCCTCATCCCTCAAACTCTTCTCTACCTCTCGCTCCTGATCCTCTCCTCTCATCTCACTCTCTCTCTCTCTCCCTCCTCAGCTCAAATCCATCAATCAAATCATCAAATCATCATCTCATGAGTCATAATCATACATGAATCATGATCATCATGCATCATGCATTCATGCATCATCATTCATATCATCATCATCATCATATGGATCATGAATCATGATTATGATCATCATCATATCATTCGTTCATTTGATCATGATACATCCGTCATCATCAATGCATGCATCATCATCATCATCTTAACATCAGTCATCATCATCATCATCATGATCATCATCATCATCATATCATGATCAATCAATCATACATGATCATTTCATCATCATGATCATCATCATCTGATCATCATTCATCCATGATCATCATGATCATCATCATGATCATCATCAATCATCATCATGATCATCATCATGACATCATCATGATCATCATCATCATGATCATCATGATCATCATGATCATCATCATCATCATGATCATGATCATCATGATCATGATCATCATGATCATCATCATGATCATGATCATCATCATGATCATCATCATGATCATCATGATCATCATCATCATTATCAATCAATCATCATCATCGATCATGATCATATCATCATGATCCATCATCATCATCATCATCATCATCATCATCATCATCATCATCATCATCATCATCATCATAAACATCATCATGATCATGATCATGATCATGATCATGATCATGATCATGATCATGATCATCATGATCATGATCATGATATCAATGATCATCATCATGATCCATCATCATCATCATCATCATCATCATGATCATCATCATCATGATCATCATCATGATCATCATCATCATATCATCATCATGATCATCATCATATGATCATCATCATCATGATGATCATCATGATGATCATGATGATCATCATCATCATCATCATCTCATCATCTTCATATCATCATCATCATCATCATCATCATCATCTTCATCTTCATCTTCATCTTCATCTTCATCTTCATCTTCATCTTCATCTTCATCTTCATCTTCATCTTCATCTTCATCATCTTCATCTTCATCTTCATCTTCATCTTCATCTTCTTCATCTTCATCTTCATCTTCATCTTCATCATCTTCATCATCTTCATCATCTTCATCATCTCATCATCTTCATCATCTTCATCATTCATCTTCATCTTCATCATCTCATCATCTTCATCATCTTCATCATCTTCATCATCTTCATCATCTTCATCATCATCTTCATCTTCATCTTCATCTTCATCTTCATCTAATGGCTATTCGCTAGTTAGTAGAAGCATATACATAGTAAGAAAATGTGTAGGGATGGTACCTGTAGAACAAGGTGAAATATTGTACTTACTTTTCCTGAACTTGTCATCTTTACACCACAGTTCCTGAACTTGTCAGCTTTACACCACAGTTAGATATTAGGATATTGTGCACTGTTTGAGTGTTTAAAAGAAGAGAATAGAAGTTCAACAATGAAATTCTGTTTGTATTTGATATGAAAGGAAAATGAATTTTGTATCTAACATAATCTGTCTTACAAGAACTATGAAGTTCATTCAAGTTGTTTTTATATATATGTAATAAGCTTTCATTTTAGGAAGTTGGTTTGATTGTTGGTATTTAAAATCAAAGAACTGCAGATTAAGGTTGCTAGATGCTTATGATGCATATTATATTGGATGTGGTAGTTACAGATCTCAATTGTCCTAAGTAAGGAGCCTTGTCATTCATATTTTTTTTTCTTTTGAGTGGCAGATTACCAAATGCCACCAGCCAGTACTGCATATGACTGTGATGATGGAAGATAGATGATTGAAATTTTATGGTCATGAATTAGGTTATGATTTTTGTTTAGAGGTGTTAAGGTGTGCCACTAAAGATAGTGTGATGGTATTTATTTTTTATATAACAAGTCTATAATTTTTACTGCTCATCTGTGTTTCTTCCAGGTTCTCTTTCTTTCCCTATTTTTTTTTGTCAATGTGTATATTTCTACCTTTGTTCTATCCCCATATTCAAACCTCATCTTCTCTTCCTTTCTATTAAAAGCTAATTTGACGGGAATTATGCATGTATATGTTACACTTGTGGTGTAAAAAAATTTGTTATGAGCAGATTACAGTTAAATCAGAATTGATTTTTGTATTTTTCTGAAGTTAAAAAAGTGCATACAAGTACCTGAAATGTATTTACATGTTAAAACTCTGTTCCTACCAGGCATAAATCAGACGAAGCAAGTCCGCAGATTATCAGGAGGTCACAACATCCTCTTGAGTTATTACATGGCAAGTAATATATCAGGTTGGGATTTGGACAACTCCTCCCTTTCTGATGATGAGCCCTGGATCCGTGGTGGGTGCAAATATCTGCTCTGCTCTGTCTTTTGCTTCATAACCTTGTAATTCCTGTCCTAATGGCTTGAGAAATGGGTCTTATATAATCCAGTTTTTTTTATGTATTTTGGAGTGAATTTGCTAACTGCTTGTAATAACTGTGATATTGGTTTTGGTGATGGATTAGTTGGTGATGGGCAGTGTGGCTTGCGGATGTTGGATGGGAACTTAGGGCGTGAGAATTGGCGTGTGCCACTACGAGAATGCCCTGTTGACTTGCAGTGTGATTTGGTAAGTGATTTGTATTGAAGCATGTTGTAGCAGTTTTTTTTTTTTTCTTTCTTTTTTCTTTTGGTGTAATTTAATGTACTTTGGTTTGGGTTATCTTTGTTTTTTAATGTACACAGAATTCATGGTTAATTTGTAGTGAATATTTGAGAGCCTGTTGATTGGAGTGACTGCTACTTCGAAATTTACTCTCTTTTTCTTGTAACCTATACTTTTGCTTGATTTAGATACTACCAAGAAAATTAGTATGATTTCATGACTGCAAAACAATTTCAAAGATTATTGTATTGAGTGATGATGTATCAATGTACTACTTGCATTTCCATATTTATTATGCTAAACCATTTTCTTTTCATTCAGTTGGACGTGAGTGGTGACAGAGTGCCAGACTGTATAGTAAGAGGTGGCAACACAATGCTCTTTATGATTGAAGCTCGTTTTGGGACAGTAGTGTGGCATTTGCATGAGCACAAGGAAGGTAAGTTTAATAAAGATATGTATGGTATAATTGTATATTTTTAACTTTTACTTAAAATCTAAATTAATTCAAATACTCATGCATTCTCCCTAACTCTTCAACATTGAACAGATTTCATTGTGATAAATGTAGGGAAGGTATAAATGCAATAAATAATTTCACAAAGCTTTTGATTTATTTTGATCAGCATTACTTATTCAGTCAAGATTACAAAGTATACATAAATCTGTCAAGCCTTGTTGAGTGTCCTGCTGCCATTAACCTTTACTACAGCCTGGGTTGATTTTGAACTTTGAAGTTCAACGTTCATTGTTTCTTTAGTTGTAGTGTGCAGAACTTCCATGATTTTTTTTTTGCATACATAAACTGGCATGCGCAACTATATATGCATTCAATGGACTGATGTTAAAAGTTTTGTGTTGTTGAATGTCAGCCCAATGCCAGGTAATTCTTTTTTTTTTGCACAGAACTCCAAGGTTGTGGGTCAAATTTAAGATAAGTGTAATGAAAGGTCATATATGTCCAGTGTCTCCATAGGCTATGAATTTTATCTGTCTATCTATCCATAGATATAGAAATATTAGTCAATCACTGGGGCTAATGCTTAGGGAGGTGCATTGCTACATCCACCCTTCATATCCTGTCATGAGGGTTCTTCGTAGCAGGTCTTCAGGCAGGTCCATGGCCCATCTTTGACTTATCACAATAGATATGATTGATTTGCTCAAGCCTTGACTTCCTTGGTCATCCTACAGGTTTCCTCCAACCTGGATTGTATCTAGAGGAGACAACCTGTTGGGCAGGATCATCTTCAAGGGGTAGAACCAAGTGTCAGTAAAGTGGCCCCGGATTGTATAAGAAACAGACCCAATGCTTGTCTTATAGTGTAGCAAGTTCATGACACCTGCTACCAGGCCAGTATGTCGACTGATAGCCTAGAGTCTTGCACAGCACTACCAAGATATGTAAAAACTATTTAACTTCCATATCCTTGCAGCTGCCACATTTATACCAACTAAACAGGTTCTCCTAGCAAATCCTCAAGGGCCTATGTATTGGTTTTGGTCCAAGAGACCTCTAGACCCAAGGGCTTCACCACATTGCTAAAATTATTGAGAGCTGGCAATAGGGTCTTCAAAGATTCAGATGATCTTGGTATTGTCAAGTGTTATGCCACATTTACTTCAGGTAGCAGCTCTACCCTTTATCATGTCCATGTAATTGTTGAAAAATGTTGGTGCAAGAACACGGCTCTGCCTCACTTTGGAATTCACAAGACAGAAGCTAGACATGCTCTGACCAGATTTCACAACAATTTTAATACCAGCATAAAGGCTTGCTTTTAACCTCTTACTGATGGGTATGGCTATAGATGATATAGAAATCCTACCCTTCATGACAGGGAAACATTTCATGATTCACTTTAAGGGGGAAAGTGGACAGGCAGGCTGTATGCAGCAAACACCCTTTCGGAAAGGCTTGATGGATGTTAGAAGCTGCCGGATTGAATGATACACAGAAAATTCAGGCCTTTGTCAGTGTAGGGTTAATCCTTCAATCTTTTTGAAATTCCTTTGTCACAGGATCATTCAGAGTGAGTCATAATGCATTGAGTCAAGTTCTACAGTGACTTCTATGGTATGCTGAGCATTGTAATGCCTCGGTAATTGCGGCAATCCCAGCAGTCCTCCATCCCCTTGCAAAAAAGGATGACAGAGCTCCTCAGCAGTTCTAGGGGGAATGGTACCAGAATACCAGATGGTTGTC